GATTTTGACAAGCTGATTGTGCATTGTGGCACAATAAAATACAAGTCACTGCTTTAAAATTTGGAGAAATTTGTAAAAAATTTCCTAAAATCTTTTATTTATTTGTAAACCACCCGATATGGCATGGACCATAAATTCAGAGCAAAATAAGATATGGAAAATTATTTTTATTTTTAAATGTGGACATTTTATTGAATTCGAATTTGATTATGTTGCTGCCAGTCTGGATGGAATTAAAAAAAAAACAAAACTCTATGATAGAGTTAAAATGTCCATATGGAGCTGAAGTGCTAACTGTAAAAGAAGAAATATACAGTAGAGAAATAACTTTTTGGAAAAAGAACAATACCATTAAGAACCACTATTGGTATTTTCAAATTCAGGGTTAGCTGCACATAACACAAATGGATTTTTGCATTTTGTGCTTTTGGACTTCTGGAGGAATAAAAGTGGAGAAAATATCTAATAATGACAGCTTTTGGGAAGAAAAGATATAAAATAAAATTAAAATTTTTTATATGCAATATGCCTTGCCGGTACTTGTTAACAGCGAAGCTAATAGAGACATGAAAGTACGAGACAGAATACTAAATAATTCGTAAGAAATTTTATTTAATGTTTATTAACATAACGCAAGGAAGCTTAAATTATTTTGAATATTTTTATTAATTTAAGAATTACATTTTATTTATTTCTAAAACATGGTTTTAGGCGATCCATTTAAGATATAATTAATGTCTTATTATTATAGTACACTATTTTAAATTTAGGATTTTACCGGTGGCAGTGGTAATTGATGATATATAATTATGATTATACCAAATGTTTTAAAAGGCTACACCAACTAGTGGACCACGCTTTTAAGTCCCCAAATAATAGTTTCAAGATTTTGATTCGGATTAGAAGTTTTGTGTCAAAGCCAAGTTATGTATTGATATTGTAATACGTAGATGAGTAACTATCATCAATAGAAATTGAAAATTTACACATGAATCTTTGTAACGACGTTATTTATTTATTAACTTCATAACGGTCAAAAATTTTAGTTAACTTATTTAATTTTAAATATAAATTTTCATTTTAACTTAGAAATTTTCGAAAAGTTCACTATATTGTTTAGTTGTTGCAACTTTACTGCGCTTTTGCGTTCAGATTAAAATATGAATTGATTTATGGAGCTTAACTGAAAAACAGGAACTAATGCTTTCATTCCAAAAAAATTATTATGTTCAATAAAAAGAATTTCGAACTGTGATATCTGCAAGTCCTTATAAAGATAACTCTTGTATAATCACAAGAGTTATCCTTATAAGTTGATAGAAATATCGAACAAAAGTTTATTGACATAAACATTATTTCCATAATACAAATAAATATATCTCTGTTTAAGAATACTCATAATTTATTTAATATATTCATTTAAACATGTTTTTGTTTTTTTGTCTGGATGATATTGAATACTAACTTTTTCTTTGTAACTTCGTTTACCCGAGACATTGTGATATAAAAAAACAGACAATTAATTAAAAGCGTTCTCACAATTTTTCAGGTATAGAATTTTCAATGCTATACTGTTTCCCAAATTATGAAAATACTAAAGAATATTAAAAAAAAAAAAATAATAAAAAGCCAATTAAAGAATGTGATAATATCTACAGAAAAACATCGTATTTCTTTTTTGGAAATAAAGAGTAGTCGAAAATTGTTAAAATAACAACATATTTTTATTACACAAAAATAATAAGTCAGTTTTTGTTTTTATGTAAATCATATCAGAAGAAAAGTCACCGAATACCGATTTCAAAGAGGTCTGTTAGTTTTTATAGGAAATGGAAAGAGAAAGAACGCTCTTTAATCAAGTTAAAATTCTTTACTAATTTCGCTGTTTCTTTTCGACGATATCCGGTCTTCGTCTTGTTTAAAATCGATAACTATAAACAATTTAAGGTATTTTGTACCTTGTTAAAAAATGTAAGAAAAATTTTTCTTTTTTTAAAAAAAATAGTAAACTTTGACAAATATATACAATATTTTAAAAGATAAATCACATTTATGTGATTATACAAAAATTTTATTTATTTTTCTAAAATAATATGGATTGTCCTCTAAAATATATATAGTGGCTCGCAAAAAGTATGCTTTTTATATGTTACTTTTTTCAGAAAATGTTATTCCTGATAAAACTTGGTGTTTAATTAAACCTAAAACTTTATTTATTTAAAAAATTCTGTATTATAAATACAAATTTGGCTGCACAGTGAACTAGGTACTCTTTTAGGAACCGAATAACCCACATTTTTACATATAAGATTAATTTAAGAAAATGTATACAACTCCAGATAGTAGTTTTTTAGTTAATACAATTTATATAGATTATTATATCCTTTTTAACCTACTTCAAAAAGGAGGAGGTTCACAATTCGTCTGTATATATTTTTTTATGTATGTTCAGCGATAATTCTTTAACACAATGTCCGATTTAAATGATTCTTTTTTTGCTGGAAAGAGAATACTTCCGGGATGGTCCCTTTTAATTTTGGTCAAAATAATTGGGTCCATGAGAAAATTCTCAAACTTTTTATTTTTTATGTATGTTTAGCGATAATTCTTTACCACCTTGTCCGATTTAATAATTTAATAATTTGGAGCTTTCTTGATGCGTCGTTTTATGAACACTTTGTATATGTTTAAGCACAGATAATTATTATTACTGGCAGTTTATTTTAAATCATTAAAATAATATTTTGTTAATCCAAAAACGGCAAGTAAAAAAGCCATGTCACATTCAGTGTAATAATTAAAATTAGATATATAAATATAGTATATTATGTACCAACTTTCACTTTCAATCCCGCCTTTTTGTCGTAAAAGACTTCTAAATTTTTTCTAGTGACGTCCGTACCGGGTTTGAACTGAATATTTTTGAACAAAAATATGGTACGCCACTGCTTTTTCTAAAAACCAAATTTATCTTTAAAATCCTTATTTATTTTGGAGCAAATTTGGTTTATAGACGTACTTTCGTACGACGCACGCTTTTCGCGTAAGAAAATAAAAACCAGTTTATTGAAACTGCTTCTGATATTTTGTTGAAATTTGGTAGGAACCCACCATGAGTGGAAACACTTTTTTTTGGGCAAAATAAAATAATTATTTTTTTCTTAAAACTTTAACACCCAAGGATTCACACCCTTAAGTATCGGCACTCAATTAATAAATACCCTGTATTAAATTACCTTATTCGAACCAATCGTCTATTTTTTCGTTATTTGTATTTATATTTCACAATTCTATACTCTTAAATCTAATTTAATCTAACTAAACCTATTCACTAAATTAAAATATAAAAATAATGTAAAACCCTCTAAAAAATCGAACTGCGTTATAACAAACTGCGTTATAACAATATCTCGCAATGTACCGAGAAAAACAAATAATTCTGGTTCCCCTAATTTAGGTAACTCTGACTCACTCAAGAACAAGAACTGATGAACGTCTGTCGGCAGCCGTTGTAGGATTTTTAGGTTCCTATGAGTCCCAACTTAGCGCGTTAGAGTTTGGAGTACGTATCCCTCGTATCTACAGGCAATTGTTAAAATTATGAATGAATGCGGATTTTGTTTCGTCTCGGAAGTAATTTTGTAGTATTTAGGCTCCACCCTTAAGTTGTAATTTTTATACCAACTAAACTACCGTTGCCCCGCAGGTCTTTCAGTTTGTAATGTAAATTTTCCTCTTAGAAGGTATCAAAGTTGAACTGGATTTTTTGACAATTTGATATTGCTATTATTTCATCACCATTTCTAAACCAATTGATCTGTAGATTTCAGAATTTGACAAAATATTTACAAAAAGAGTAGAAATATAATTTTGAAAACTACATTATGAAATTTCAATAAGTTTTCAAGTTAGAAGGCATCAAAGTTGAACTGAATTTTTTAACAATTTGATATTTCCTTCATTTCATCACCATTTCGAAATTAATTATTCTATGGACTTCACAATTTGACAAAGAATTTACAAAAAGGGTAGAAATATAATTTTGAAAACCACATGTTGAAATTTCAATAAGTTTTCAAGTTAGAAGGTATCAAAGTTGAACTGGATTTTTTAACAATTTGATATTTCCTTCATTTCATCACCATTTCGAAATTAATTATTCTATGGACTTCACAATTTGACAAAGAATTTACAAAAAGGGTAGACATATAATTTTGAAAACCACATGTTGAAATTTCAATAAGTTTTCAAGTTAGAAGGTATCAAAGTTGAACTGGATTTTTTGACAATTTTATATTGCTATTATTTCATCACCATTTCTAAACCAATTGATCTGTAGATTTCAGAATTTGACAAAATATTTACAAAAAGGGTAGAAATAAAATTTTGAAGACTACATTATGAAATTTCAATAAGTTTTCAAGTTAGAAGGTATCAAAGTTGAACTGGATTTTTTAACAATTTGATATTGCGTTTATTTCATCACCATTTCCAAACTAATTGATCTATAGACTTCAGAATTTGACACACATTTTGAAATTTATTTTTGAAGACCACATTTTGAGAAAGAAATGTCCGGCTTTTTTGTATAATTGTCCCACTTTTATACATTGTCCATATGGCAACGCTTAATAATTCAGATTATTAATAATAACATGATTTAAAAATATATATATTTTTGATTTTTGAAGAAATTTAAATACATATCTGGCTTGTAGACCAGTTGGGGGTTGAAGTAAAGTGTTGTAGATCAAGCGAAAATCCACAGCTCTTGTAAAGGTCACTTTCTAACATAACCTCAAAATTTTTGATAAAAATATAGAACTTCATTCAATTTTTTTTTTCGCTCTAATCAATAAAATGGTGGTATTGCCTTTGATAAACATTTGCTAGGTCATTTCTTCTCTCATATACTTTAGATAATTTTCATTAATTTATGTTTCCTTTTAATAGAATAATTTCCCATTATTTAGATTGAACAATAGCGGTTTCTCTTTCAGGTTTCCTCAGCGATCCGAAAGAGGTGCACGGTTTAGCCCACTTTTGCGAGCACATGCTGTTTTTGGGCACCCAAAAGTACCCGAACGAAAACGACTACAGCAAGTTCTTAAGCGAACACGGAGGCGCCACCAACGCCGCCACCTACGTCGATCATACTCTTTATTATTTCGACGTCGTTCCAGAGAAGTTAACCGACGCACTTGACAGGTATTTAAACAATATTTAGGGATTTTTTTTATTATGTGGCAACAATGTAGAGTTGGTATATTGAAAGATATGTGCAAATTTGACTTTTGTGAAGTATATAGAAGCAGAATACACCCAGGAAAACTATGGATAGATATGTATATATTCCATAAACAGCACGAGCCATATTGAAGATTCTAGAGGTACAATTCCTGGTCGATAACTTGTCATTTGCACTGGCCAACAAGATCGCCTGATATCACAGCCCCAGACTAATTTTCTTCGGGGTTTTTAAAGTCGCTGGTCTTCCAAAACGAGCGACAGACCTTGGCGAGCCTAATAGAGGATGTCGCAGTTAAAATGAACAATTTTTTTTAGGTTTTCTCAATTCTTTATCGCTCCTCTTTTTACCGAGAACGCCACAGAACGGGAAATCAATGCCGTCAATTCGGAGCACGAAAAAAACATACCGAGCGATCTGTGGCGATTGGATCAATTGGACAAACATTTGGCCGACCAAGGCCATCCTTATAACACATTCGGAACAGGTTTGAACTCGTTGCGACAGATTAAAGTGGGTCCAGGATTTCTTTTGTTCTTAAAATGACAAGATTTCAATCCGGTCAGTTATTATAGATTGAATTAATGAAAAATTATAGGTTGTTGTTAAACACTGGTGTGCCGCGGTTTTAGGTACCAATAATGACACACCTAGGGTTGTCAGATTTACGAAAGGGAAAAGCGTGGCAATATCGAAAAAAAAAACCCTTCTAGTAGTTGTATTTTTATAAAAATAGGTCCTTTTTTTCTGGGGGATCAAAAAAAGGTTTTGTTTCTTCAAAAATTCATTAGTTATAAGTTTGAATTTAAAAAGCGTGGCATTTGGGTATTTGGGCGTGGCGCGTGACAGTCACGCTTAAAGCGTGGCGTCTCCTAACCCTAGATACACTTCATGTACAATTTTGAGGTTTTTAAAGTAGTATTTTATAGAAAAAAAAAAAATATTCTGAGTGAAAGAGGAACATTCATAGTTTAATACCATCATATTTCACCTTATCCTAGAAAATTCCTCAGCAATTTAATTTAATTATGTTTTTTTTTATTATTATTTTATAAAGTACCCTTTGAAAGGTATTTTACTTATTATAATCCAGTTATGATGTTCTTTTGAGAGTTGTATTTAGTAAATTAGTGAATTTGCAACAGTGAGGTGAAAGTAAGATGTTTTTATTTATTTGTGTATAGGTATATATTTATTATAGTATTGCAAAATTGATTGATTATAGTATGGCTAAATTTTCATGTCGTTTTTTATTGTTTATTGCAATTTATTTACCCAACACCTTACTGTTAACGACGTGCTCGAAGAGCACGTCGCATTCTATTATACAGTGTCTCAAAAAAAAAATACACATGAGAAAGTTTAATTGTGTAAAAAAAAAAAACAGTTATTCTTGATAAAATGTTCTACATCATTATTTTGCAACATTTAATGTTTGATTATAGATTTCCAATTGATGCAGAACTGTTTATTAAGAATAATTTTTTTTTTAAATAAAACTTTTCTCATGTGTGTACTTTTTTTGGGACACACTGTTTAATAGATTACTACGTGCTCTTCGAGCACGTCGTTAACAGCAATATCTAAATACACTTTGTTGTTAACGACGTCGTACACAAAGAACACGTCGCAATCTATTATACAGTGTCCCAAAAAATTTTATACGTGAAAAAAGTTTTATTTCTTAAAAAAAGGTATTGCTGATAAAATGTTCTGCATTACTTGGGAATTCATAATCAGACATTGAATTTTTCTCATGCATATAAAACTTTTTTGGATCACATAGTGTAATAGATTAGAGCACGTCGTTAACAACAAAGTGCATTTTGATTTTTTTATTAACCACATGCTCTTCGAACGTCGCAATCTAATACACAGTGTTCCAGAAAAATTTTTACACATGAGAACGTTTAATTGTTTAAAAGAAAACAATTATTCTTGATAAAATGTTCTGCATCATTATTTTGCAACATTTAATGTTTGATCATAAATTTCCTAGGGATGCAGAACATTTTATCAAAAATAATTATTTTTTTGGAAAAAATAAAACTTTTCTCATGTGTATACATTTTTTTGGGACACACTGTATAATAGATTGCGACGTGCTCTTCGAGCACGTCGTTATCAACAATATCTAAATACACTTTGTTGTTAACGACGTCGTACACAAAGAACACGTCGCAATCTATTATACAGTGTGTCCCAAAAAATTTTATACGTGAAAAAAGTTTTATTTCTTAAAAAAAGGTATTGCTGATAAAATGTTCTGCATTACTTGGGAATTCATAATCAGACATTGAATTTTTCTCATGCATATAAAACTTTTTTGGATCACATAGTGTAATAGATTAGAGCACGTCGTTAACAACAAAGTGTATTTTGATTTTTTTATTAACGACATGCTCTTCGAACGTCGCAATCTAATACACAGTGTTCCAGAAAAATTTTTACACATGAGAACGTTTAATTGTTTAAAAGAAAACAATTATTCTTGATAAAATGTTCTGCATCATTATTTTGCAACATTTAATGTTTGATCATAAATTTCCTAGGGATGCAGAACATTTTATCAAAAATAATTATTTTTTTGGAAAAAATAAAACTTTTCTCATGTGTATACATTTTTTTGGGACACACTGTATAATAGATTGCGACGTGCTCTTCGAGCACGTCGTTATCAACAATATCTAAATACACTTTGTTGTTAACGACGTCGTACACAAAGAACACGTCGCAATCTATTATACAGTGTGTCCCAAAAAATTTTATACGTGAAAAAAGTTTTATTTCTTAAAAAAAGGTATTGCTGATAAAATGTTCTGCATTACTTGGGAATTCATAATCAGACATTGAATTTTTCTCATGCATATAAAACTTTTTTGGATCACATAGTGTAATAGATTAGAGCACGTCGTTAACAACAAAGTGCATTTTGATTTTTTTATTAACGACATGCTCTTCGAACGTCGCAATCTAATACACAGTGTTCCAGAAAAATTTTTACACATGAGAACGTTTAATTGTTTAAAAGAAAACAATTATTCTTGATAAAATGTTCTGCATCATTATTTTGCAACATTTAATGTTTGATCATAAATTTCCTAGGAATGCAGAACATTTTATCAAAAATAATTATTTTTTTGGAAAAAATAAAACTTTTCTCATGTGTATACATTTTTTTGGGACACACTGTATAATAGATTGCGACGTGCTCTTCGAGCACGTCGTTATCAACAATATCTAAATACACTTTGTTATTAACGACGTCGTACACAAAGAACACGTCGCAATCTATTATACAGTGTGTCCCAAAAAATTTTATACGTGAAAAAAGTTTTATTTCTTAAAAAAAGGTATTGCTGATAAAATGTTCTGCATTACTTGGGAATTCATAATCAGACATTGAATTTTTCTCATGCATATAAAACTTTTTTGGATCACATAGTGTAATAGATTAGAGCACGTCGTTAACAACAAAGTGCATTTTGATTTTTTTATTAACGACATGCTCTTCGAACGTCGCAATCTAATACACAGTGTTCCAGAAAAATTTTTACACATGAGAAAGTTTAATTGTTTAAAAGAAAACAGTTATTCTTGATAAAATGTTCTGCATCATTATTTTGCAACATTTAATGTTTGATCATAAATTTCCTAGGGATGCAGAACATTTTATCAAAAATAATTATTTTTTTGGAAAAAATAAAACTTTTCTCATGTGTATACATTTTTTTGGGACACACTGTATAATAGATTGCGACTTGCTCTTCGAGCACGTCGTTATCAACAATATCTAAATACACTTTGTTGTTAACGACGTCGTACACAAAGAACACGTCGCAATCTATTATACAGTGTGTCCCAAAAAATTTTATACGTGAAAAAAGTTTTATTTCTTAAAAAAAGGTATTGCTGATAAAATGTTCTGCTTACTTGGGAATTCATAATCAGATATTAAATTTTTCTCATGCATATAAAACTTTTTTGGAACACATAGTGTAATAGATTAGAGCACGTCGTTAACAACAAAGTGTATTCAGGTATTGTTGTCAACGACGTGCTCTTCGAGCACGTCGCATTCTATGATACAGTGTCTCAAAAAGAAAACGGTTATTCTTGATAAAATGTTCTGCATCATTATTTTGCAACATTTAATGTTTGATTATAGATTTCAAAATAATGCAGAACATTTTATCAAAAGTAATTGTTTTTTTTTTCTTTTTTGAAAATAAAACTTTTCTCATGTGTATACATTTCTTTTGGGACACACTGTAAACTAGTTTGCGACGTGCTCTTTGAGCATGTTGTTATCAACAATATCTAAATACACTTTGTTATTAACGACGCCCTACTCAAAGAGCACGTCCAAATCTATTATACAGTGTGTCCCAAAAAAATTTATACACATGAGAAAAAGTTTTATTTCTTAAAAAAAATTATTGCTGATAAAATGTTCTGCATTACTTGGGAATTCATAATCAAACATTAAATTTTGTAATAAAAGCTTTCCCATTCATATAAAACTTTTTTGGAACACACAGTGTAATAGAGCACGTCGTTAACAACAAAGTATATTTATATATTTTTAATAACGACGTGCTCGAAGAGCACGTCGCAATTTATTATACAGTGTCCCAAAAAAAATGTATTCACATGAGGAAGTGTTTTTTTCCAAAAAAAAATTATTGTTGATAAAATGTTCTGCATCACTTGGAAATCTATAATCAAACATTAAATTTTATAAAATAATGATGCACGTCGCAATCTATTACACAGTGTCCCAAAAAAAAATTACACATGAGAAAGGTTTGTTTAAAAAAACAGTTATTCTTGATAAAATGTTCTGCATCATTGTTTTATAAAATGTAATGTTTGATTATAGATTTCCAAGTGATGCAGAACATTTTATCAAGAATAATTTTTTTTTTTTTATAAAAACACTTCGTGTGTATACATTTTTTTTTGGACACTGTATAATAGATTGCGACGTGCTCTTCGAGCACGTCGTTAATAACAATATCTGAATACACTTTATTGTTAACGACGTGCTCTAATCTATTCATTAATTTAATGTTTGATTATGAGTTCCCAAATATTACAGAACATTTAATCAGCAATAATTTTTTTAACGAATAAAACTTTTTCTCATGTGTATTAAAATATTTTGGGTCACGCCGCATAATAAATTGCGACGTGTTCTTTGAGTACGGCGTCGTTAACAACAAAATATATTTAGATATTGTTAACGACGTGCTCTTCGAGCACGTCGCAATCTATTATGCAGTGTGTCCCAAAAAAATGTATAGACATAAGAAAGTTTTAATTTAAAAAAAAAAACATTCTTAGATCACGTCGCAATTTATTATAGTGTCCCAAAAAAATGTATAGACATAAGAAAGTTTTAATTGTTAAGAGCACATCGCAATTTATTACACACTTCAAAAAAATTTATACACATGAGGAAGTTTTTATATTTTATAAAATTTAATGTTTGATTATGGATTCCCAAGTGATATAGAACATTTTATCAAGAATATTTTAACAACAAAGTGTGAGGAAAATAAATTGCAATAAACAACAAAAGAAAATGGCAGACACTATAGTTTTAAAAAAAAAATTACAGTGAAACTAGATTAAAAGTATTTATCATCTTGTTCTTTCGGTCATAACATCTCAAAGTAGGCAATAACTATATACGAGCGATAACCCAATCAAAAAGTTATATTCATACCACAGTTAGTTTTTAAAATGAACTTTGCGTGAAGTTGTAGGATTTTTTTAATTCGCCCACATAGCTGTCGATTGTCAAACAAGTTAAAAGAAATCCTGGAAGTATTTGAAGAAACGGGTGTTTATGCAGTGATCTTTTGCTGATTTACAGGTAACAAGCATACTTTGATCACAATACCTAAAGAGAAGAATATCGATGTGAGGAAACAGCTGTTAGAATTTCATAGTAAATGGTATTCGTCTAATATTATGAGTTTAGCTGTATTAGGAAAAGGTAATTATTTTTTGAAAAAAAAATTATAGAAATTTGTCCATACAGAACGTTGTCCAACAGACTTTTCTTTCTTCTCTGAATGACTCTTCGTTATCTTCAATTTTTACAATCCAAACTTATCTGTACCACTTTGCACCTCTTTAATTTTTTTTTTTTTTAACTTCCTGAACACCTTGCAATTCTATGACTGCAAAGGGAACTTCTCAAAGGTTTCATTAAAAAAAATACAAATTCGCCTTTTTATTATTTTGGTGTATTGATAAAAGAAACATACAATGATGCAGTATCTTGTATGTTTCTCATTGAGCCCCACATCAAATTTTTTTTAAACATAACAAACATCCACAATTTCTATAGTTCAAAAACTACTTGACACTGCCAAAGATTATATCCCAGCCAATAGAGTCATCAATGAGATTTGTTTCTATCTCAATTTATACTTCTACAGTGCGTTTCATAAGTATGGTCAATTTTTTTTTCATATATTTAAATATTGAAAAGATATGACCCTATAACCGAATAAAGATGTATTAAAAACGCGATGATACTTTCATTTTTAATTTTTTTATTTAGAAAGTTTAGACGAATTGGAAGACATGGTGGTGGAGTTGTTTTCAACTGTAGAAAATAAAAACGTTGAGGCTCCGGTATGGCCGACTCATCCATTTTCCGAAGACCAGTTCAGGACGAAAGTGTATGTTTCTCCTATAAAAGATGTCAGAAATTTGAACATTGTGTTCCCTAGCGAAGATCTGACAGAATTCTATAAGTCTGCAGTAAGTTAATAATTCAATATTTTCTTTATTTTGCCAGTATCTTCGGAAGTTTGTCAAGAATAACGACACAACTAAAAAAAATTCCATTTTCGAGATTATAATTAAAAAGGTATAATAAAATCTGCTTATTTTGTGGTTGTCAATAAAGAAGAGCTAAACAAATCTAGTTGTGCTCTGATAGTCAATTTTCGACTAGAGTGACATAAAACAAAATATGCCAGTTTTATTAAAAATAAACTAAGAACATTATTTGCAATAGTGACAAATAAAATTAGGACTTTATTGTTGAAAAAGTCATTATGAATCTGTGCGAAATATACTTTTCTGGAAGATCGTCATAACTTTAAAGAGGGATGACAATATAATGTTGTTTTTTTAATATTATCAAAGCAAATTTGTTGTTTAAATATTCCCAAAGCGATTGTTTCGTTCTTTCCGTGCTACAAAGTCGCGAGTGTGATACAACTGTCAATTTTCGGCTAGAGTGACTTAAAACAAAATAGGCACGATTTATTGGACATTAAAAAAAAACATTATTTTCAACAGTGGCACAAATCAAATTAGGACGTTATTGCTAAAAATATAAATTGGTGTGAAATATACTTTTCTGCAAGATCGTCATAACTCAAAAAAAGAATGAAAATATATTGTTTTTTAATGTTATCAAAGCAAATTTGTTATTGTTTAAATATTCCCAAAGCGGTTGTGTCGTTCTTTCTGTACTACAAAGTCGCGAATTTATGATGATGGAGAGTTACACAAATCTAGATGTGCTCTGACAGTAAATTTTTGGTTAGAGTGACATAAAACAAAATATGCCAGTTTTATTGAAAATAAAAAATGAACATTAATTTTAACAGTGACACAAGTCAAATTACGACGTTATTGTTGAAAAGGTCATTATGAATTATATAAAATACTTTTCTGAAAGATCGTCATAACTCAAAAGAGGGATGAAAATATATTTTTTTTTATTCTTATCAAAGCAAATTTGTTATTGTTTAAATACTCTCAAAGCGAATTTGTCGTTCTTTCCGTACTACAGAGTCGCTAGTTTAAGATGATAGAGTTACAAATAGTCCATTTTCGGCTAGAATTACATAAAACAAAATATGCCAGTTTTATTGACAATAAAAAATAAAAATTATTTTCAACAGTGACACAAGTCAAATTAGGACGTTATTGAAAAAAAATTATAAATTTGTGTAAAATATAATTTTCTGGAAGATCGTCGTAACTCAAAAGAGGGATGAAAATATAGTATTGTTTTTTAATGTTATCAAAGTAAACTTGTTATTGTTTGAATACAAGGTGATTTTTATTCCCAAAAAATTTATAAACATTTTAAAAACGGATGTTTTCGAAAATGTTTTTGAGTTAGGTCACCATTCTTGTGTACAAACATGCCAGTTTTATTAAAAATAAACTAAGAACATTATTTTCAACAGTGATACAAGTCAAATTAGGACGTTATTGTTGAAAAAGTCATTAAGAATCAGTGAAATATACTTAAACATTATTTTCAATAGTGACACAAGTCAAATTAGGATGTTATTGTTGAAAAAATTATAAATTTGTGTTAAATATACTTTTCTGGAATATCGTCGTAACTCAAAAGAGGGATGCAAATATAGTATGTTTTGAATGTTATCAAAGTAAACTTATTGTTTGAATACAAGGTGATGTTTATTTAAAAAAATACAGTAAACAAGAAACTTTAAAATGAATGTCCTCGAAAATCTATATTTTTGAGCGGTGTCACTATTCATCAAACACTAAATGATGGATCTTTTTAACGTTTTCATCCATAGTCACTGTGTTTGATTGTCCTGTGAAGGAGCTCTTGCATACTTGATGATACTTTTTCGAGAAAAGTGACATAATTCAAAATTCTAAGTTTTTTAACTACAATGTCTATATATTTTTTCTGGAAAATGAATTTTATTGCCTATTTAGAAAACCATTGTAAACACGCTTGAGGAGATATCGACTTATTTCACGAAAAACGACACAACTCAAAAAGCGTCGGAATTATGTAAGACTAATTTATCAAAAAAAATGTCATATTTTTAGTTGTGACGTTTTTAACGATAAGGTAAGCGTAACAAATTGGTTGTTTTAATCAGTATAGCGACTTTGAGTTAGGTCAGTTTTTTCTTAATATTAGTTAAATTATCAAACGACTTAAAACTTTTGTATTGTGTCAGCTTTCTTGAAATAATAGTTAATGTAACAGAAAATTACATATTTGCAAAAAACTCATAAAATGTTCTCTTCAAATCAGTTGAGAACAAATAGTAGGATATTTCCTCAAAGTACTGCTGTACAATAATTTCCCAAAGCCAATAAAATTGGAAAATATTCATATCTGTGATCTAAAACTCCAATGATCTGTTGATGGAATTTAAAAAGTGATTTTCTTCAAAACATATGTCACTTCTCATGAACATCATTGATATGCTGGAAATTTTCAACAATCCTTTTTTTTTTCCACAAAAACAAGGCTTTCTAGCATCCTAGGATTCAGGGGGTTTCTCCACAATTACACAGTGGAAAGTTGACTGAATAGTTTTATGATCTTGGGTTGTGTCTGCATTAAATAAAAAACCACTTATTTTTTTTATTTTATTAAAATTTGCCTTAATTCACAAACCTTGTAAGTCACAAAAGAAGGTTTTTTGAAGAGATAATAAAATCATTCCTATTTTAAAATCAAATTGAATTTGAAAATATCAGTTGTCCATTTGGTGGTTAATTTTATTTGTAATCTTAAGGTAATAAGTGAATCCAAAAAGTTCTTGGTATTTTTAAGTTATTTATTAGATATTGAAGTTAGAAAATCTTCATAATTAAGTGATTGAAGGTTTGTGAACCAAGGCATCTAAATACAAAATTGGAAATAATTTTCTATACCCTTTTTAACATCATATCAGCTCTCACAGTTTTAAGGAAATTTTAATAGTTTAACAACTTTCCAGTATATTTTTGCAACAAAAACCTTTTTTTTAACATTATCTCCACCAAAAGTTTCACCTCTCCACAATAATTAATCTATTTTAAACTTTGATCATAGGGTAAATATTTTCTACAAGCTTTTTCCCCACAAAAGCAAAGTTTTCTATCATCCTCTTCATTTCCAGATGAATCATCGCCATAATCATAAGTTATTTCACTCCCAATTTCTATATCACCTTTAGAAAAAACTGCTAAAACAGGCATTGTACTGTCTTCTCTAATAACAACTAATTTCGAATTTGGACAGCAGCTGTGGTTAATGTATCTGCCGATATTACCGTAAACTGTAGGATCTATGAAAGTTCTTAAAGTTTCTGTACCGAATTTTTCGTTTATACAAAAAATATAGTTCATTTTACCTGAATTTTTATAAATTTGAAATCTTTTTATCGCATCTTGATTGGTTAATATTTCACCGGCATATTCGCATATGAAATTTCCTTTATATAATTTCTTTCTAGTGAATAAACCGAATCCTTTTTTAATGTTTATACACAATTTAACTTCTAAACCTAGTCGAGGTCCGTATTGCACTAATTTATTTCCACATAATTTTTCGCAACACTTACATTGGCTGCTACATTCGTACGTCGGTGCTTCTGATTCTTTTTCTTCGATTTTATAGGTTTCTAAGTTCGCGATATCTTCAAATTTGTATGCAGTTCCGCTTTTTTCGATACATAGACAAGTTTCTTTTGTGCAATTATCAAGGCAAATGCAACCTTCTAGAAGGTTATGATATAGATTTTCTGCTTCTTTAGTTGGAACGTTTCTGGGAAAATACAATACTTCTTCGATGCAATGCTCGTAATCATCATTAAATTCCATTTTTATGTAAAAAAAGTGTAAATACATGAAAATAAATTGAAAAGTTGAGGTTATGTGTTGACTTTGACGTTTAATAATCTTTTTTTTTAGCCACTAGTGGTCTTTTATTTAGCAGTTAATCGGTCAATATTATAATTACCAGTGCCGGAGTTAATTTTTTTTTAATATTAACGTATAGCTAATTAGTCAGGAAAATGCCTATTTAAATGAATAAATTAATGTTTTCTTTATTTTTATGTAACAAATAATTGCTAGACTGTTTATTTTGTCACATTATACATATTTTCAATATTTTTCATTATTTCCTTTTGTAGATAATCTAATTAATAATTGTTTATTAAAATATATATACATTTGTACAATATTCCTATTGTGTTTGTTTTTTAGCCTAGTCATTATATAAGTCACTTGATGGGACATGAAGGTCCTGGTAGTATTTTGTCGGTACTTAAAGCCCGAGGATGGTCTAATAGTTTAGTAGCCGGGCATAGACCATCGCCAAGAGGTATTGGGTTCTTTGCCGTAGCGGTTGACTTAACTGAAGAAGGAATGGATCATGTAGATGAGATAGTCGAACTAGTTTTTCAGGTATTTATTTGTGGCACAAATTCTGTGGTCGGTGCTCAAAAAGATCGATTATAACTCCATTTGATACTGAAAAATGTTAATATTTGGATCTTCTGTACATACAAAATTATATTTTTACAATTTCATTCATAATGTAGAAATTTGTAGACCACAGAATTTTCATTTATGATTAAATGGTTGCAAGAACATAATATTTTTCCTCTCTTTCAGTATTTGAATATGTTGAGAAAAGAGGGTCCTCAAAAATGGGTGCAAGACGAAAACAGGAACATTGGTCAAATGATATTTAGGTTTAAGGATAAGGAATCTCCTAGGAGTTATATTTCTGGATTGGTTCATAGTCTACAAGTACGTTATTATTTTTTTTATAAATTTTGGTATGGATTGTATTATTTTTTTAGGAATATCCAATGGAAAACGTTCTGTGTGCGAATTATATGCTGAACGAATGGCATCCTGAATTAGTGGAAAGAGTTTGGAAGAAATTTGTACCTGAAAATGTTAGGTAAACATTTTTTTTTATTTTTTCTGCATTAATCATCGAACAGATTTGTAACGATTAATTTCATTAAAGGAGGCCTTATTAATAATAAGAAATTTTAAATAATATATTGTAAATTTATTGTAAAAAAAAACATTTTTAATATTTGTTTAATGAAATACCCTTTTTGTGTTCCTTTAGAGCCAATTTTATAATAAAATTAAATGAGGCTTTAATATTAAAAGGATAATTTTAATATATTAATGTCATATAATACAAATTTATTGAAAAAGTATATTTTAAAGCTTCATTTAACTGAATACCTATTTTTGCTCCGTTAGGGCCAATTTCATAACACAATTAAAGGAGGGTTTGACATTAAAAGAATACTTTAGTATATTTTAAAATTTCGTTGAGTTAAATTTTTATTTTTGCTTCTTTAGGGTCAATTTTATAATCAAATTAAAGGAGGTTTTAATAATAAAGGAACATTTTTAATATTATATCGATTTTATGAAGTAAATTTATTAAGAATTACACTTTAATGCTTTGTTTAACAACATAGCCATTTTTGGTACTTTATTGTTAATTTCATAATCAAATTAAAGGAGATTTTAATATTAAAAGGGGACACTTTATATTTTATATCGATTTCATAATAAAAAAATTATTGAAAAAGTATACATTAAAGCTTCAGTAAACTAAATACCCATGTTTCCTCCTTTAGGGTCAATTTTTTAATAAAATTAAAGGAGATTTTAATTTTAAAAGGGGACACTTGAAATATATCGATTTCAATAAACTAAATACCTATTTTTGCTCCTTCAGGGCCTATTTCATAATCAAAATAAAGGAGACTTTAATATTAAAAGGAGACACTTTAAATATTACTTGGATTTATTGAAATAGTACATTTTAAATCTTTGTTTAACTAAAAATACCCATTTTTTACTCTTCTAAAATCAATTTTATAATTAACTTAAAGGAGACTTAAATATTAAAAGGGGAAACTTTAAATATTAGTAACTTTGATTTCATAATACAAATTTATTAAAAAGGTATATTTTAAAGTCATGTTTAACTTTAGGGCAAATTTTATAATCAAATTAAAGGAGGTTTTAATAATAAAGGAACATTTTTAATATTATATCGATTTTATGAAGTAAATTTATTAAGAATTGCACTTTAATGCTTTGTTTAACTACATAGCCATTTTTGGTACTTTATTGTTAATTTCATAATCAAATTAAAGGAGATTTTAATATTAAAAGGGGACACTTTATATTTTATATCGATTTCATAATAAAAAAATTATTGAAAAAGTATACATTAAAGCTTCAGTAAACTAAATACCCAAGTTTCCTCCTTTAACGTCAATTTTTTAATAAAATTAAAGGAGATTTTAATTTTAAAAGGGGACACTTGAAATATATCGATTTCAATAAACTAAATACCTATTTTTGCTCCTTTAGGGCCAATTTCATAATCAAAATAAAGGAGACTTTAATATTAAAAGGAGACACTTTAAATATTACTTGGATTTATTGAAATAGTACATTTTAAATCTTTGTTTAACTAAAAATACCCATTTTTTACTCTTCTAGAATCAATTTTATAATTAACTTAAAGGAGACTTAAATATTAAAAGGGGAAACTTTAAATATTAGTAACTTTGATTTCATAATACAAATTTATTAAAAAGGTATATTTTAAAGTCATGTTTAACTTTAGGGCAAATTTTATAATCAAATTAAAGGAGGTTTTAATAATAAAGGAACATTTTTAATATTATATCGATTTTATGAAGTAAATTTATTAAGAATTACACTTTAATGCTTTGTTTAACTACATAGCCATTTTCGGTACTTTATTGTTTATTTCATAATCAAATTAAAGGAGATTTTAATATTTAAAGGGGACACTTTATATTTTATATCGATTTCATAATAAAAAAATTATTGAAAAAGTATACATTAAAGCTTCAGTAAACTAAATACCCATGTTTCCTCCTTTAGGGTCAATTTTTTTAATAAAATTAAAGGAGATTTTAATTTTAAAAGGGGACACTTGAAATATATCGATTTCAATAAACTAAATACTCATTTTTGCTCCTTTAGGGCCAATTTCATAATCAAAATAAAGGAGACTTTAATATTAAAAGGAGACACTTTAAATATTACTTGGATTTATTGAAATAGTACATTTTAAATCTTTGTTTAACTAAAAATACCCATTTTTTACTCTTCTAGAATCAATTTTATAATTAACTTAAAGGAGACTTAAATATTAAAAGGGGAAACTTTAAATATTAGTAACTTTGATTTCATAATACAAATTTATTAAAAAGGTATATTTTAAAGTCATGTTTAACTTTAGCGCAAATTTTATAATCAAATTAAAGGAGGTTTTAATAATAAAAGGATATTTGAAATATATCGATTTTATAATGTACATTTATTAATAATTACACTCTAAAGCTTAATTTACTAAATACCATGTTTGTTCCTTTATTAAGGCTAATTTCATAATCAAATTAAAGGAGACTTTAATATTAATAGGGGACACTTTAAATATTACTTCGATTTATTGAAATTTATTGAAAAAGTACAATTTAAATCTTTGTGTAACTAAAAATGCTCATTTTTTATTCCTCTAGGGTTAATTTTATAATTAACTTAAAGGAGACTTTAATATTAAAAGGAGACACTTTAAATATTAGTTGCTTTGATTTCATAATACAAATTTATTAAAAAAGTATGTTTTAAAGCTATGTTTAACTCTAGGGCAAATTTTATAATAAAATTAAAGGAGGTTTTAATAATAAAGGAACATTTTTAATATTATATCGATTTTATGAAGTAAATTTATTAAGAATTACACTTTAATCCTATGTTTAACTACATAGCCATTTTTGGTACTTTATTGTTAATTTCATAATCAAATTAAAGGAGATTTTAATATTAAAAGGGGACACTTTATATTTTATATCGATTTCATAATAAAAAATTATTGAAGAAGTATACATTAAAGCTTCAGTAAACTAAATACCCATGTTTCCTCCTTTAGGGTCAATTTTTTAATAAAATTAAAGGAGATTTTAATTTTAAAAGGGGACACTTGAAATATATCGATTTCAATAAACTAAATACCTATTTTTGCTCCTTCAGGGCCAATTTCATAATCAAAATAAAGGAGACTTTAATATTAAAAGGAGACACTTTAAATATTACTTGGATTTATTGAAATAGTACATTTTAAATCTTTGTTTAACTAAAAATACCCATTTTTTACTCTTCTAGAATCAATTTTATAATTAACTTAAAGGATACTTCAATATTAAAAGGGGACACTTTAAATATTAGTTACTTTGATTTCATACAACAAATTTATTAAAAAAGTTTATTTTTTAACTTTAGGGCATATTTTATAATCAAATTAAAGAAGGTTTTAATAATAAAGGGACATTTCTAATATTATATCGATTTTGTTTACAGTAACATATGTCAAAGATGCTTTTTAAATTATGATAAAGTGTTGTTGTTATTAGTACACAAAATACATAGGAATAATTGTTTTTTTTTAAGTTGATCAAAAAGATGTTGGTAAAAAATGAATTAGAATATTGCCATTTTTCTGTTGAAATCTCCCTCTTGAAAATGTAATCTCGAAAATTACATTTTAAAAAAAATTACCAAAAAATATTGATAAAAAAAATGTTGATGAAAAAATAAAATAGGACACTAATTTTAACCCCTTACTACCCCATTAAAAACTTTAAAAAGCAACAGCATTCGACTGATAGCTTGTTCGAATTAGTTTTTAATTTTCCCTTCATCTGTTTAAATAATTTTAAATTTGTTTTATTAGTTTTTGACTTGTATTTACTTAACTAACAAATGGTAAATTATTTTTTAGAATATCTGTAGTCGCTAAGAAATTCGACAAAGAACTCGACGAATCAGAACCATGGTACGGAACTAAATACAAGAAAATCGAGATACCAGAAAAAACTATTAAGGTACCTACGAAATAACGTAGAAATCTAATTTCTATTTCAATCCATAATTATTTTCAGAAATGGCAACAAGCTGGAGAATGTTCAGATCTAAAAATGCCGGAAAGGAACGAATTTATACCAACCGATTTCAGTTTGTACCCCATCGACGATGACGTAAATTTTAAATCTTATACGAAAATAATTCGGATTTTTCATTATTTAATGTTTTAGGTTACTGAATTTCCTATCATAATCGAAGATACTGCTTTAACGAGGGTGTGGTTTAAACAAGACGATCAGTTTTTGCTACCGAAAGCCAATTTGATGTGCGATTTTGTAAGGTAATTCGTTTTTCATGATCTAATTGTATTATAATTATGAAATTGGAACGGCAGTCCAGAGGAAGCGGGTTCGAACCCCGCCCGGAGCAGATTTTTAAAAATGTTCTTTAGTTTATTATTATTACAGGATTCAGAAATTCTTTAACATTTAATTATTTGTTTTTACTTTGGAGGATTTGGGTGTAAATTTTATAGAAGGGATTTATCACCTAAAAACGATATTGGAAGACGGTGATAATTATATTCGCTGTTTCGTGATGATTTACCGTTTTTCCTATTTTTACCTGATGATTTTTGATGTTTAAAAGGTTTGAAATAATTTCAGACTCAAGAATTATAAATTTAACAAATTTTTTTATTAAAATTTTTGTAGTTTACGTCTATCTCAGAAAATACAATATTATTTTGACCGTGAAAGTTATAGAAAAGAAATGAATTTTAAAAAATGAATCGATTTGTTAAGTGACGCCTTCTTTAAGGTTGAACCAATGATTTTGTGTCTCCTAACGGATTTTATATAGCATGACGTTGAATGAGGAAATTATTCGGACACCTGCGTGCTTTAAATTGTTTATTTCCGGTGTGACTGCGTTTTAAATAATAGTTTGTTACTAAAAACTCGCGCTTGCACAGAGGCGTATTCAGTATTAACAAATATATTACACCATTTTAGCCCATTGGCGTATTTGGACCCGCTGAACTGCAACCTCACCCACATGTTAGTGCAGCTATTCAAGGATGCTTTGAACGAGTACGCGTACGCAGCCGAATTGGCAGGTCTCAAATGGGAATTGATCAATACGAAATATGGTCTGATTGTGAGTGTTTGTCGCGTAATTCCCATTGCTTTATCATTTATGATCGTTTTTTAGCTGGGCATCGGCGGTTATAGTAGCAAGCAGCACATTCTGCTTAAGAAGATCATGGAGAAGTTGACGGATTTCAAGATCGATCCTAAACGGTTTCATATTATCAAGGAGACGGTTAGTATAGGCGTAACACTATGTCGGTGTCATTCTAATACTTCGTAACCACAAAATTGACATTTTACAGTGTATACAAAGTTTGTATGCATTTAGTTATGAAGTTTTCTGTAACGATTCGTATAGATAATTAGGACAATTTGATGAACAAATTTAATTTTAGGAAAAATGAGGGTTACGAGGAATTAGAATGAAACTGATGATTAGATTTTTCTTTCAAATGACATTTTCTCTATTATTATATCTTTTTAGTATATTCGAAACTTAAAAAACTTTTCTGCTGAACAACCGTATCAACATGCTGTGTACTATTTAACTGTATTACTAACTGAACATTCTTGGACTAAGCAGGAACTGTTAGCTGCAACTGAACGTAAGTATTAAAACTATCATACTAAACTGAAATAATAGATGAGGGTGTCAGATTTTTTTAACTCGAATTGCGTCAAAATAGAAGCATCTACACTGAATAATTTGTATTAAAAAATAAGAACTATTTTTTAATAGTTTTATTATTAATTGTGCTTCACATCCTTGTTAGTGGAAATAAAGATAACCATGTAGTATACGTGTGTTACGCCGCTGACCCACATGTTCAGATCGTCAAAATTTTATCCTATTCTCTATCGTTGCATGCCTGAATTACTCATTACCAATTTTTGTATCGAGTAATTCACATTGTTCAGATCGCTTACATTCCAGCGTTTATAAAAACATGGGTAAAAACTATTTAAAACTCAAATCGTCTCAGAAATACAATAAATTGAAAAATAAATGAAGAAATTGGGATTACAGGTAAGAAAGTAATGTTTTTCTTTTTATTTAACTGATTTTTAGCTTTATGTGTAAATTCCTGCATTTAGATGACAAATAAATATACAGAGGATACTACTTTATGTGTTAAAGGTGCAGTCATTCATAAAATCCGTCTGCAAAACGAAAAATGCTACTTAATGTGCAAATTTCGCAAAACTTTGATGAGGCAGATACTACTTTATGTGTAAATTCTGCATTATAGACAAAGAAATGTACATAGGAGGCTACTTTATGTGTTAACTCTGATCTTATACTAGCACAGGTTTAAGAATAATGTTTGCTTTGTAATTTAATTGATTTTTAGCTTGCAGAAGATACTGCTTTATGTAAATTTCCGGATTTAGAAGAAGCATCATTTATATAAGCCATCTGCCTAGCGAAAAATGCTACTTTATGTGCAAATTTCCCAAAACTTGATGTGTAAATTCTGCAAATAACAAATACATGTACATGTGTTAACTCTGATCTAATACTTATAATATGCAAGCTCGGCTAACTTGAACGTGAAAAATGCTACTTAATGTGTAAATTTCGCTCATTTTGTTCACGAAAGATACTATTTCATATGTAAATTTTTCATCATATACAAATAAATGTACAAAAGAGATTACTTTATCTGGTAACTCTGATCTTAACGCAAAAATGCTACGCAAAGTTAATGGATTATATTACTGTATGGGTAAATTCTGCACCTTTACAAAAAAAATGCCCCTTCATGTGCACATGAATTAGCTCTTGACTAAATATTTCTATTAGTTGATGTAGAATCAAAATCTAAGAGGTACATACATCAAACTCGTAATTTTCACCAGAAAATAGACATTCGAATAGTAAGGATCAAATTCAATACCAGGATATTCTGGGAGCGTATCCCAATCAGCGAAGAACTAATAAAAAGTTGAGAAAAATATTTGCAAGAAGGTTTGAATAGCAAAATATCAAATTTTCTTTGCGAAATGCAAATCCAAAAAACATATCATCACGTGGGTCCCTACCTTAAACCCCGAACTAAAAAGTTTAATAACTCACGTCATCAAATAAAACAGACAACTTGGAAAATGATGGGAAGTTTAGCTGAACCTCTGCATGCTAGGCTTAGAGGGGATAGAATTAGAAAATAAATGAAAATGCAGCAAAAGTATTACTGGATATTGTCACGTTAAGTGGTTTGTTAGGCAAACCAATTAATCGTGGGGTACGCCACTGCGTATTTCGGATCGCCCAAACGATCTTCCAGTCGAGGAAGATCTTTGCGCCACCCGAAAATACTCACTGGAGAACCTTTCTTATGATTTACTGTTTGGCTTGGCTTTACGCTACTGGGGAAGGAATAAAAGTCACAGCATAAAAAACTACAAATCTTTAATGAATACAAACTAAAATCCCCTAAACTACCCAGAAATCCTCAATGTTATAATACACCCCAAATATACAATATATATACACTACAAAGACTTTAAAGAACCAACTGGTTACTTTTCTCAGAAATACCTTTTGAGCTTTTATTTTATTTTTTATTAGATTTATAAGATAACCTTACCACATATTTTAACAGCTTGCTGGAATGTCACGACTTTATTTTTTTATTTTTATTACTGTAATACAGCAGAGTATTACCTACTGCCGATTTATGTCACAGCCGAAGAACTTATGGCCTCGGTTGGGCCAAAAATGTTGTTATTTTTTGTTTTGTCAATTTGGCTAGCTGACCCCACGATTGTTTTGAAATTGTAGAATCAGCATAACCGAATTGAGTGCTTTGTTTACTTTCAACATAAAATAAAGTTTTTAATTACTAGACGAAAAGATTGTTATTGTTTTAAATAACTTTAAATGTAATATTAAACACAAATTGGAATTGAATCGAAATTAAAAAGATTGAAATAAAATTATATTTTTGGAAATGGCTTTAATAAAATTTGAGCTGAAATATATTTTTGGAAAGTACTTTATCTTTAATAAAAATCTAATTATTTTTAAATGCAATTCGTGACAATATCGATGATTTTTTTTTCTTTGGAAAGAATTTTGTAGAGATATGGAAGTCAAACAAAACATTTCAAACGACTGGCATTTCAAACTGGAAGATCTCAGGTCTGTCTAGAATATTTTGTTAAATGATAACTTTATGTCAAAAATGTAATTAAAGGATGCCTATTATCTCATCCCAATACACCAAAAATCAGGACAGTACTTGAGATTTTAATTTAAGTGTTTTGAATTTGGTTCGACCATTTGCTCCATATGTTTTTCCAAACCGGTAGTGTATCAACTAAGACTTTTTCAAATAACCTTGATAATATTTAGTGATGAATGTTTCAAACATTGTAATAATTTTTCAAAATCTCTAGGACTCATCATAAAAAAAGTGTTTTTATCTAAAGTATTTGGATTTCATATTTAATAAAAAAATTTGATAATATGTATATATATGGATTGCCAAAAATGGGACTTTGTATCATTTTCTCATGCAGATGTAATAGCAAATTATCACTAAAGAATAACTAATATTGACACAGAATATTCGCTTAGTAACTCTATTTATGAAAGAATAATCTCTTTAGGACAGCCTTCCATAGATTTGTTTGCAGTACAACAGAACACCGAGTGCAAAAAATATGTTTCCTGGAAACGAGAACTCGATTGTTACGTAGCTGATACATTTATTGCTACAAAGTATTAAAAAGTACTAAAAAAGTGGTTAAAAAAATACTAAAAAGTACTTAAAAGTACTAAAATTAAGAATGACCAAGCAGAAGGCATAGTGATTGTACCAAAATGGGAACCTCAACAATCCCAAGTTACAAAAAAATGCTTTTTACAGTACATCTCAACATTAAGCTAATTATTCACTTCATATTATTTATAGAACTCCTAATAATAAACAGATTTCTGCCCTAGCTTTCATTATAAATATTCTAAAAAAAAAATAGATAATTTCTACCCTAGTTTTTTTATTATAGAAATTCTAAAAATTGTAAATAAATAAAAATATATGTATTAGGAAATTTCTAAAAGGGTCATCCTGTTTGGCCAAAGTATATTCAAATTTGAGAACAAAACAGTTTCAAAACACTGAGTAGTTTCTATCATTTTAAAAACTTAAATATACAACCGCTAAGCTAAGAGCCAAACTTGTTATTCTTGCAGCCCAGCGGGTATTCGCTCAGTGCGAAGTTATGGTAGGGGAAGCAAAAGCGATACTAGCGCTAGCTGTGGATAATTCGTGCAATAAGAAGAAAAATTACTTTTATTTTTGTAATAGTAAGAGTATTACTGGAAATAGTAGACATCAGGAACTTGAAAGGTTTTAAATAAACAAGAGCTTTCTTAAAAATTATAGTTGAAAATGTCAAGGTGGAAGATTACAGTATACAAATTGTTATTGACGAAATGGTAAAACTTCGACTCCATAATGAGCTCAGCCTTTATTAATATTTTCGTTCTTCCACGAATTACCTCAATTTATGCTCGCCCAAAAACAATTTTTATTTTATGTGGAAAAAACAAAGCCTCACATGTTTTCAGGGCCTTTTATTCTAACCACTACCGCTCCAGTCCATCCAGGGGCCCCATTCTTGAATGTCCATTTCTAAATGTCACACGCGACATTGATGAAATGTCGAATATGAACGCAAAAACGTATTTTGGAATGGCGAATTCGACATTTATTGTTAATGCTATGTTAATGTTAATTGTTGATCGACATTGTTGATCAACAAGTCTATAAAACTGCATCTGTCCACACCAGAGTTGACAGAAATGTTTGTCGATCAGTCGAAATTAACATGTCTAACGAATATGACATTATAGTTGCTTGTGTCGCATATATTATTATCGCGACTAAAAAAAGAAAACGCACGCAAAAGAAGATTTTGGGTTCGACCAAGTCCTCTAAGTAGAACTAGATACAACTCTAGTAATTTGATAGAAGATATAAAAAAAAGATCGTGCCTCAAGTTTCTGTTCTTATAGTTTTTGTTTTTAGAATCCCATAGATTTGTTCTGTTTGTATGCCTCAATAAAGGCTGACTTTATCTTGTTCCCATTCCATTTCTCCAACGAAAACACAACTACAATGTCAACAAGTTACTTAGTACTTAGTACTCAGTACTAACGTCAAAAACACGTTTACACACTAAAGTCGATTGACTGCTCTTCCATGTTTACCGACAGCCGATGGAAAAAAAATCGACATGTCGATCGATTTATTTTATCGATCGACACCGTCGATTACCGCGTACACACAAAGTCGACAACGTCGATAGACAGAACCGATCGACAGTGTTGATTCGGTAAGGACGCACCTTTAGACATAAACTCGAGTGGTATTTAACCAGTCGACATTGTAATGTCGCATGCCTTTCTGAAGATAATGTTACAAATGATAATTTATGTTTGTTTTTAAGAGAAATGAAAATAAGTATTGTATAAATTGTTTTAAAAAAAATTTGATTTGATTAAGTACAATTTCAGCTAATTTATCAATCATTAGTCCTGTCTGTTCAGGAGATTTAATCCCTGTCATTAAGAAATTTATATAGCACTATTTTTCCAAATTGAAGGGAAATAGTATATTACATTACGAGTGTGGAAAATCACTTTTCACACAAGTGATGTACAATAGTTTTCCTACGACCACAAAATAATTTGATCAAAAAATGTAAAACCAGGTTATTATTATAATTAAAATGTATTTAAAAAAATAATCAACAATAATCGTATTTATTCAATTTTCATATTTTCTAAACAAAAAAAAAAAAACTAAAAAACAAAAAAAAAATAAAAAAAAATTCTGCCCCTGCAAGGATTTGAACGCGGTCGGTCGCTAGGTCTCAAATGGCAAAGTTGATAAAGTTTGATACTCTAACCATCGCCTTGCGTCAATTGAATGATCTAATCGGTTATGTGTTTAACCAGAATAAAAAGCATGCATAACTTAGTTATTTTAAAATTATTTTAATAATAATTATTAAAGATAAATATCTAGGATCTAATTTACAACAATTTCAATAATTAAACAATTACCGATTTTAGTATTAATATGGACATTACATAGATCAAAATAGAAACGATGCGTTTGACATTTTGTAACAGCTGATGCGAAAAGTAGCATATTCGTACACGGGTGGAAAGTAAATTCTTATTCATACGCGTGTGATATAGGGCACTTTCCATAGGAGTATATAGTGTCACTTTCCTAAGTGGTCGTAGGAAAAAGATTAGATCACAGTCCTTTTATATAGTCTTTAGATTATATTGTAATAATATATTTCTTTTTCTTTCAATTTAATCTCTTACCAAATTGCACTTCCAATTTTCTATTTAATCCTTCATGAAATTTCTGTTGAAAAGATTATATATATTTTCTTTACTTTCTAATTAGTATTTATCAAAAAGATATATATTTGAAATATATTCTCAGTATTATTTTGTATTAGTAAGAGATCCTTCAAGTAATTGTCTGCTGTAATATACTCGTATTGTATGTTTCTATCCAATGTTGTCAGATATTATCGTTCGCCAAATATATCACTGATTTTAAAATGTTTGTTTTTGGGAATACAGATAGTGTCAGTCGATCGACATTTTGATAGACATAAAGGTGCGTCCTCACCGAATCAACACTGTCGATCGACGTTGTCGACTTTATGTGTACGCGGCAATCGACGGTGTTGATCGACAAAATAAATCGATCGACATGTCGATTTGTTTTCTATCGTCTGTCGGTAAACATGAAAGAGCAGTCGATCGACTTTAGTGTGTGGACGTGTTTTCGACATTCGACAAACTGTTAGTACTGAGTACTAAGTACTCAGTAACGTCTTGTCTTGTTGACATTGTAGTTGTGTTTTCGTTGGAGAAATGGAATAGGAACAAGATAAAGTCAACGCCTTTATTGAGGCATACAAACTGAAAACAAATCTATGGGATTATAAAAACAAAAACTATAAAAGCAGAAATTTGAGGCACGATGACCTTATGGAAATTGCTAATGAATTTAATTTTGTATTTAGTTCTACTTTAAAGACTTGGTCGAACCCAAAATCTTCTTTTGCGTGCAAGTTTTCTTTTCTTTAATATATGCGACACAAGCAATTATAATGGCATCTTCGTCAGACATGTTAATTTCGACTGATCGACAAACATTTCTGTCAACTCTGGTGTGGACAGATGCAGTTTTATAGACTTGTTGATCAACAATAGGGCCCCAGTATCTTTCCAAACTATTGCACATAATACACATACGTATGTACCTCGACCGTCCTCATAATCTGCGTCGATATCGAAACCATTAGAAAAACTGTAGGAGAGACGGAAGAGATTAGAACAAGTTTTACAATCAAGGGGTAAAACCAACTTTCGCAGAAGATCTATTAAAAAATTAATAAATTCATTTTAAACAATTCTTAAGTATGATTTGTTAAAATTCAATATTATTTTTTGTTATGTTGTGTGACAAGTCTCCTGATTCACCTACAGTGCTTCAGCGAGTCTGTGGCGCTATGAATGTAATTCCCGAATAGGGGTTGCTCAGGCTCCAGTTTTGATATCGCAGTTTGCTCTGCGGCCCTGGGGTGCACGTAGAGTACACCCTCAGTAGACTCAGTGGAGTCCAGGTACAAACAAAAAAAAATAAAACGGATAGACCTTCGCTGTTAAGTTGACCTACACTGGGGTAGTAAAGTAAATAAGGTTTTTCACTGCACTTTTACCTATTAATCACTACGCCCTGAAAACGGAAAAAGCAAAGGCGTAATTCAAAATTAAACTCAGGAATTTCAATCAAAAATATATTTACAAAATAAATAATAATTAAAAATAAAATAAATGGGGTGAAATCGGTATATATTTATCTGTTTAATAACGGTAATAAAATAAATGTAGAATTATGTATGTTGATAAAATAAAAGGTCTCGGTATTTACAGAAAATGATAAAACGGTAAAATTAACTATGACCTATACTATACCCATAAGAAAATAAAATAACAATTTTCCCTATAAAAAAAATTAAAACGGTGGGCACTAACACCCTTAGCACAAATTCCTTGCTATTAATGAAAACGGCCGGCTTTAGTCATAAGAAAAAAATCTACAATAATAAACTAAATATGATTCAAACTATACGTTTTAAAAATAAAAAAAATTAATAAGCTACTCTCAGTAATAAAAAATATCGGTAATCGGCCAATGGTGGTGAACAGTATCACCCTCCACTCATGAGAGAAAAAAAAAATGACGGATGCCTTTGTAAAAACGACGCCTAATATCCTCCCCGCAATATTATTTTACTAGGCACAATAGACCAAATAACGGGTGTCTTAACGCGGTATTATTCGACCAATACTTTGAGAATTTTTATTTTATTTATTCGGTTTCAAGTTTCTCTTATGTGGAGATCTGGGAATCCATAGCTTCCACAGAACAGAAACGGCTGCGACTCTCGACAGGGATAGCAAGCGAATACCACTATCATCCCTTGGTTAACACGAAAATGGTTGAAGGGCACTAACGCCCCGGATTTAAATACAATTCGTTACCCTGACAGGCACTAAGAAATCAAAATATCGGTCGAATAGCTCATGTAATTAATAGTACGGAAGTGAATGTTACAGGGAGAATTATTAGACGGAATTTTAAATAAAAAGGCCTACCTTAATTAACTTTTCACCAAAATCGCTTTGCGGTATAATCGGCACTACAGCAAGGCAACTTTTACTCTCCAACTCACGGTAACAGCAGGAAAAGAGGTCTCCTTCATCGCAAACATCTAGTTTTATCAGAATTCGTACTTTTGCCGGAGTGGGGCGGTAGCCCCACCTAGAGGAAATAAATTGTTATTGCAAAAAAACGTTAATTGATCAGCTTACTGATAAAATCTACTACTCTTGCAATTTTACGAGACGATTTACATTATTGTGATATTGAAAAGTTTTAAACTACGAGGGCTCTTGTAAAGATTTAAAAACGGTAATTCTATGGAAACATTAGTTACAGGGGGTCTTGAAAATGTTCATAGACGGAAATTAATTTTAGAAATTAATTTATGGAATAAATTAATGGGAATTTTAGTGACTTCGTCACAGTTGTTTAATGATTGATTAGTATTGTTATGAATTATTATTGATAATTTTGTGGGAAATTTATATTAATATATTTTTGCATAATTATTTTTTCGTATAAATTTACGTAGAAAGCAAAAATCTAGTTTTATTTTGAATAGAATATCCTCTAAACAACTACATGGTAACCTCCACCATATTATTTTTAACCCCAAACTCCTAGACTCCACAACAGGTAATGAGTAATATAGACAGAGCAGAGAGTGACGTAAAATTTTAAATCTAAACATGTGGGTCAGCAGCGTAACACAGGTATACTACATGGTTATCTTTATTTCCACCAACAAGGATGCTCGCATAATTAGGATCGAACTTCCTTCAGGTAAGTCGTTTGATCCATTAATTATAAGGATGTCTATGTTCAACTGTTTAATTTATGGCGAAATAAATTAAACTTTGATATACAGGATGTTATTTTGATATGTTTTGATTGAACATACACATTGGTGTAATAGTTTATACTGGAGTTTCAAACTAAATTCAAACTAAAACAATTCATACTTACGATTTTATTTTGTTCAGCTCTTAGACTAAAAAATTGTATTTCACAGAAATCACTATCGAAAGACTAGAAGCTTTCATTCCCCAAATCCTATCCAAGATGCATATCGAATGCTTGGTCCACGGCAACGCTAACAAAGCCAAAGCCTTGGAACTCGTTCACATCGTCGAAGACAGCCTCGCGCAAGCCATGAGCATGTCGCCGTTGTTGCCGAGACAATTGTTGCTCAATAGAGAACTCAAACTCGAAAACGGCTGTGAATATTCCTACGAAGTACAAAACGAGGTACATAAATCGTCCTGCATCGAGTTGTACTACCAATGCGGGCTGCAATCTAAGGAGAACAATATGAAATTGGAGTTGGTGGCGCAAATCGTTCAGGAGCCGTGCTATAACATTTTACGTACGAAGGTTAGTTTTTTTTTTAATAGTTATTGGTATTTTACACAAGAATTGGAGTTTTATGTCTTCAAATTTGTTGATTCGATAGTCGAAGCTATGTGCTGCGGTACCCTAATTGGTAAAGGCATCGAAGAGTAAACTTGTAGATCCAGGTTCGATCTCTGACTGTAATACGCGTTTTTTCTTTGATTTTTTCACTTTCAGTTCGTGTTGATAGATTCCTTAATTTATTTACACATTTCCAAATGTATATTTTAATTTTGGGATCTTTAACTGATATTTCTTCCTTACTTTCTTAATAATTTGTTTTTTGTATGTTGTTTTTATTGTAGGAACAACTAGGCTACATAGTATTTAGTGGGGTAAGAAGATCTAACGGTGTACAAGGTTTAAGAATAATCGTACAGTCTGACAGGCATCCGGACTATCTAGATTCGAGGATAGAAGCGTTTATAGCTAGTATGTTGGTGAGTATTTCAATATATTACATCGCTGTATTATTAACAAGTTGTCGTTTTAACTAATTTAATTAATTAAATAATATATCGTTTTTGAAATTACCTTTAGTGTCACCGTCTATGTTTGGCTTTAAGATCTCGATGTTCTTGGCAAATGATTTTTATAAATAGTATGCTTAACATAAAGTTTCATAATAATTTATTGGGATTATAAAAAGATTACATAACAAGATTGTTTTATAATTGTTGGTGATGACTTATTATAAATGCAAATCTGAGAATGTATCGGTTGTAATTCAAATAAGGAATAAATTAATTATTTTTAAAAAGATACTAACTGAATCAAAACTTTTAACGCCCCCCGTGTATATCTTTTAATTTGAGTAAATGCGTAATATTTTACGAACTAAAGGTAAAAACTGCAGTAGCATACTCAGTATTTATTTCTCTATTAGTTTGAAAATAGTATCGAAATAAAGGCTCCAATGTCAAATTTATAACAAATAGGAATTCAACTTTGATACTCTTTAACTTTAACTTCTATTAAAATTTGAAAATGTTGTTTGCAAAATTATGTTTCTACACTTTTTATAAATATTTTCCGAAATTTTGAAGTTTATAAATCTATTAGTTTGAAAATAATGACGAAATAAAGGCTCCAATGTCAAATTTATAATAAATAAGAACTCAGCTTTGATACTTTCTAACTTTAACACCTGTTACATTTTGAATATGTTGTTTGCAAAATTATGTTTCTACAGTTTTTATAAATATTTTCTAAAATTTTGAACTTTACAAATCTATTAGTTTGAAAATAGTGACGAAATAAAGGCTCCAATGTCAAATTTATAACAAATAGGAATTCAACTTGATACTCTATAACTTTAACATTTGTAAAAATTTGAATATGTTGTTTGTAAAATTATGTTTCTACACTTTTCATAAATATTTTCTGAAATTTTGAAGTTTATAAATCTATTAGTTTGAAAATAATGACGAAATAAAGGCTTCAATGTCAAATTTATAACCAATAAGAACTCAACTTTGATACTCTATAACTTTAACATTTGTTAAAATTTGAATATGTTGTTTGCAAAATTATGTTTCTACACTTTTTATAAACATTTTCTGAAATTTTGAAGTTTATAAATCTATTAGTTTGGAAATAGTGACGAAATAAAGGCTCCAATGTCAAATTTATAACAAATAAGAATTCAACTTTGATACTCTCTAACTTTAACATGTGTTAAAATTTGAAAATGTTGTTTGTAAAATTATGTTTCTACACTTTTTATAAATATTTTCTAAAATTTTGAAGTTTATAAATCTATTAGTTTGGAAATAGTGTCGAAATAAAGGCTCCAATGTTCAATTTATAACAAATAAGAATTCAGCTTTGATACTCTCTAACTTTAACACCTGTTAAATTTTGAATATGTTGTTTGCAAAATTATGTTTCTACAGTTTTTATAAATATTTTCTAAAATTTTGAAGTTTATAAATCTATTAGTTTGAAAATAGTGACGAAATAAAGGCTCCAATGTCAAATTTATAACCAATAAGAACTCAACTTTGATAATCTCTAACTTTAACATTTGTAAAAATTTGAAAATGTTGTTTGCAAAATTATGTTTCTACACTTTTTATAAATATTTTCTAAAATTTTCAAGTTTATAAATCTATTAGCTTGAAAATAGTGACGAAATAAAGGCTTCAATGTCAAATTTATAACCAATAAGAACTCAATTTTGATACTCTCTAACTTTAACATTTGTAAAAATTTGAATATGTTTACAAAATTATGTTTCTACACTTCTTATAAATATTTTCTGAAATTTTGAAGTTTATAAATCTATTAGTTTGGAAATAGTGACGAAATAAAGGCTCCAATGTCAAATTTATAACCAATAAGAATTCAACTTTTATACTCTCTAACTTTAACATGTGTTAAAATTTGAAAATGTTGTTTGTAAAATTATGTTTCTACACTTTTTATAAATATTTTCTAAAATTTTGAAGTTTATAAATCTATTAGTTTGGAAATAGTGTCGAAATAAAGGCTCCAATGTTCAATTTATAACAAATAAGAATTCAGCTTTGATACTCTCTAACTTTAACACCTGTTAAATTTTGAATATGTTGTTTGCAAAATTATGTTTCTACAGTTTTTATAAATATTTTCTAAAATTTTGAAGTTTATAAATCTATTAGTTTGAAAATAGTGACGAAATAAAGGCTCCAATGTCAAATTTATAACCAATAAGAACTCAACTTTGATAATCTCTAACTTTAACATTTGTAAAAATTTGAAAATGTTGTTTGCAAAATTATGTTTCTACACTTTTTATAAATATTTTCTAAAATTTTCAAGTTTATAAATCTATTAGCTTGAAAATAGTGACGAAATAAAGGCTTCAATGTCAAATTTATAACCAATAAGAACTCAATTTTGATACTCTCTAACTTTAACATTTGTAAAAATTTGAATATGTTTACAAAATTATGTTTCTACACTTCTTATAAATATTTTCTGAAATTTTGAAGTTTATAAATCTATTAGTTTGGAAATAGTGACGAAATAAAGGCTCCAATGTCAAATTTATAACCAATAAGAATTCAACTTTTATACTCTCTAACTTTAACATGTGTTAAAATTTGAAAATGTTGTTTGTAAAATTATGTTTCTACACTTTTTATAAATATTTTCTAAAATTTTGAAGTTTATAAATCTATTAGTTTCAAAATAGTGACGAAATAAAGGCTCCAATGTTCAATTTATAACAAATAAGAATTCAGCTTTGATACTCTCTAACTTTAACACCTGTTAAATTTTGAATATGTTGTTTGCAAAATTATGTTTCTACAGTTTTTATAAATATTTTCTAAAATTTTGAAGTTTATAAATCTATTAGTTTGAAAATAGTGACGAAATAAAGGCTCCAATGTCAAATTTATAACCAATAAGAATTCAACTTTTATACTCTCTAACTTTAACATGTGTTAAAATTTGAAAATGTTGTTTGTAAAATTATGTTTCTACACTTTTTATAAATATTTTCTAAAATTTTGAAGTTTATAAATCTATTAGTTTCAAAATAGTGACGAAATAAAGGCTCCAATGTTCAATTTATAACAAATAAGAATTCAGCTTTGATACTCTCTAACTTTAACACCTGTTAAATTTTGAATATGTTGTTTGCAAAATTATGTTTCTACAGTTTTTATAAATATTTTCTAAAATTTTCAAGTTTATAAATCTATTAGCTTGAAAATAGTGACGAAATAAAGGCTTCAATGTCAAATTTATAACCAATAAGAACTCAATTTTGATACTCTCTAACTTTAACATTTGTAAAAATTTGAATATGTTTACAAAATTATGTTTCTACACTTCTTATAAATATTTTCTGAAATTTTGAAGTTTATAAATCTATTAGTTTGAAAATAGTGTCGAAATAAAGGCTTCAATGACAAATTTATAACAAATAAGAATTCAACTTTGATACTCTCTAACTTTAATATTTGTTAAAATTTGAAAATGTTGTTTTGCAAAATTATGTTTCTACACGTTCTATAAATATTTTCTGAAATTTTGAAGTTTATAAATCTATTAATTTGGAAATAGTGACGAAATAAAGGCTTCAATGACAAATTTATAACAAATAAGAATTCAACTTTGATACTCTCTAACTTTAATATTTGTTAAAATTTGAAAATGTTGTTTTGCAAAATTATGTTTCTACACGTTCTATAAATATTTTCTGAAATTTTGAAGTTTATAAATCTATTAATTTGGAAATAGTGACGAAATAAAGGCTACAAAGTTCAATTTATAACCAATAAAAATGTAACTTTGATACTCTCTAACTTTAGTTATTTATTTATGCTTAAAAATATATTGTTCTTAACATTATATTTGATTTGATTATTTCAGGAGTATATCAGTGACATGAGCGAGGAAGAATACTTGAGACACCGTGAAGCTTTAGCCGCTCAAAGATTGGAAAAACCGAAACAACTCAACAGTTTAACCAATCGCTTATGGTCGGAGATTACGGCTCAGCAATATCATTTCGACAGAGCTAATATCGAAGTGGCATATCTGAGGACGCTGTCTAAAAACGACATTCTAGACTTTTTCAAGGTAAGCAATAGACGTTTGTTATTGAAATTTTGAAGTAAAACTTCTTAGGCCGCGGTTCGATGTTTACTTAGCAAAATATATTTACTGATAAAGCGCAACTGTTCATAAAAACATCAACAATCTTTAGGAATTGTGGCCTTAATGGTCTGTAAATGATCATACTTTTTTTTTAGTATTTGTTTAGTTAAAAGAGGTTAAAATTTAAAAAAATCATAAATTAAAGACGAAAATTAACTTGAAATTTTTAAGATATATCAACCTCTATAAAAGTCCTATTGATTTAAAAAAAAAATCTGATTAATAATGGAAGGAATTGAAACTATAAAAAAAATCAAAATAAACACGAAAAACATCAAGCTGTACATTGAATTTTTTTGGAATTTCTACCCTTGTGATTTTAATTTTGAGGAGGTTGTCATTGTCTGTGGTATACTCAGACTTGTAGTTCGGGATTTCACTCCCCTTGAAGTATAAATAGATATTGTCAAAGCTTAGAAAAGGTTGTTTGGGTATTCTCCATACTTTCTAAATCACCTAATTTTATTTTATTTAGTTGTTGTTCGTCTGGGGTTGTAGTTGTTTCGATTGGAGTCTCGTCCGTTTCGTTGTTCTGTGAATGCTAGATTCTCTTGACTGTCTTGAGTATCATGGAATTCAGATTCAAAGTTTGTTAGATTGACGATTTTCTCCATACTTTTTTGAGTATTCTACAAACTTTCACTAGTGACAAATTTTTCCGTTTTTTGGATTCTTGGCTTGCAGGGACCGTTGGGGCTGATGGTAAATCGATCTTGATTATTTGAGCTTGTCGTTTCGTCAGCTAATTACTGTTACGTTAATTTATAAAATAAACTATTGAATATATTATATCTAATTCAACTCGAAAATCAAAGGTATTGGAGACCAGAGTAACAGTTATACAGATTAGCTCCATTTCACGGTGTGGGATTTCTATCGCGCCAGAACCTTTTCTGGTGAATAATAGTACAAAATCCTTCAATGGATTGAACTCTGATACCTCACAAATCCAATTTTATATAATAATCCTCAAATCAGATATGTGCACATTCAGCGTCACTAAATAAAAGAGACTGTATAGACTTACTTTTCTAGGTCCAGGACGACACTTTTTCTACATCTTTTATAAGGGAAAAAAAGGTTGAAGAAAATTCTGAAGTTCACCGAATACCTGATCTAGTTGTTGTTCGTTCGGGGTTGGGGTTGTTTCGATTGGAGTGTCATCTGTTTCGTTGTTTTGTGAATGCTAGATTCTTTTGACTGTCTTGGGCATCATGGAATTAGGATTTTAAGTTTGTTAGATTGACGATTTTCTCCATACTTTTTTGAGTATTCTACAAACTTTCGCTAGAGACAAATTTTTCCGTTTTCTGTATTCTTGCCGTGTAGGGACCATTGGGGCTGATGGTAAATCGGCTCGGTCTTGATTATTTGGGGCTGTGGTTTCGTCCATTGGCCGTGGAGAGTCGATTTCCAATATTGGTGTGTCGTTTTTAATTTTCTCCAAACTTTTTTGGGAGCCTCATTTGACCCGAGGCTCTACTTGATTGAAAAAACTGACTCCTGTGTTAATGGTTAGCCCTGTAAGTGTGGTTTTACTCACGTTTAATAGTGTCTTATGCTTGGCTATGAAGGAGTCTGGTCTCTTAACATTTTTAACCGACTTCAAAAAAGGAGGAGGTTCTCAATTCATTGTAATTTTTTTTTATGTATGTTCATCGATAATTCTTTAACACGGTGTCCGATTTCAATGATTCTTTTTTTGTTAGAAAGGGGGTACTTCAGGGATGATCCCATATTAATTTGGTCAAAATCTAATTATTGGGTCCATTAGAAAATCCTCAAACTCTTCATTTTTAATGTATGTTTAGCGGTAATTCTTTACCACCTTGTCCGATTTCTAAAATTATTTTTAATACTTGTTGTGGATATTTTCTTTGCTTTTCCATTTATTTCTCTGCCTCTGTATACACTAGTTTTGTCCGAAAAGTTTCTGGCTGCCCCACCGGGCTTCGGCATGTGGGTAAACTACCCTTACACTATGAGTTATACTACCTGGAACGCATTAATATCGTTAAATAGACTTACAAAAATACGAAATTAAGTGTGGATATGTGTATCGCATAAACAAAATCGAGGTGGATTTATATGGACCGTTTTTATGACACCAATTTATAAAATTTTCAATTAGAAATTCCTTAAAGGTCTGTATTGAGACTCCTAGTGACATGTCGTCAGCAAATAAATTTATCATATTTATATTTACATCATTAAGTCATTAATGAAAATTAAAAACAGTAACGGCCCAAGTACAGATCCCTGACGTGCACCCATATCAACTGGGTAATTTTCTGACTTAGATTTAACAAGCATTATTATATTAGAATGTTCTCGCCAAAACTAGTAACATTATCCCGTTTGTTCTGGAATAGTAATCGAAAGCGTCTTCGCCATAGTCGTCACATATTTTTGATCTTAAGGTGTTTAATTATGTATGATAATCGGACAAGTTGAGAGGAACTTAGAGGATTGGAGCATGACTGAATAACGAAATGGCTCGCATTACAATACAATTTATTATTACTAAATTTAAACATAGCAAAGTTATAATAAAAAGCATTCTTTCGTCAACATTTACTTTATTTTTACTAGTATTAATTTGTATCGTAATTTACAAATGGGTATTTTTATTTTTCAGACGGTACTGACCGAGAAAGCTGAAAACCGTAAAAAACTCTCAGTCCAAGTGATCTCGATGGCCGAAGGAGGCGCCGGCAACGACAACTCCACCCTCAAAGAGACTCCGAACACCAAATCCAAATTCATAAACGACGTGACCGTATTCAAGAGCAACCACGAAATGTACCCGTTGGTGCAACCGTACATAAACATTACTAGGAAGGGCAGTAAATGCAAGCTGTGATGTTTTTAATAGAATTTAAGAATAAATTTTTTAATCTGTCGGGAAATTACACGTTTTTCTGTGGCTCAAAGGCAAATGACGGATATTATTTGAATCAGGATGTACAGGGGTGTAGAAAAATAACAATTTAGAGCCTTATAAATGATATTTATGCAGCGTTTTACAACCCCTTTTAGAAATAATCGTACTACGCATGTGAGATTATCGTTGTATATTTATTTTAATATCAATTTGTGCTAAATTAACGCGATAGTCAATTTTTATTTATTAATTTTGCCATTTAGCCACAGTCGTTTGTTTATAATAAGAATGAAATCGATTTCTCACACCATCTTTTATGTGATAATTGAAAAACAGTTTGTATATTTTTATGTACATAATGATTTAATGATAATAATAATAATGCCGGTGTTTTAAGGTGTGTTCAAACAATTTAGAAAAAAAAAATGTACCAAGAAGGTAAATCTCGACACTTTTTAAACGACTTTCTTTGTCAAATTTTTTTAATAAAAGGAAGGATTATTTATTAAGACTGTGTTTTATTTTATTTATAACTCCGGTGGTGACTATAAAAATGGTTAATTGACCAAGAATAGGAAGAATAAAAGAAAAAAAGAAGCTGAATTGAAAAAAAAAATATATATACTTCAATTGGTACACATTTCCCTTTTTTTACCCAGATCTGGGAAAAAATATATAGATATGGCAACGTCGCTTTGCGTAAGAAACCCCGGTAAGTATTCTCCATATTTCCCTAGAAAGTAGATACTAAATGGCAACATTGTATCAAGGACTGCTTAATGATTCAATGATGTTCGACGGCAAAACGGTTTATTTTAAATAAAAATAGAAAAAAATCTGCGTACGTATAAAATGCAATGTCTAGATCTCAAAAAAATACTCAGTTCCCATTTAACAGAAATTACTTAAAAGATGAGGATCATATCTCAAAGATGAACAGAAGCAGAACCAGCTAAACATTTGGAATCGCTTATTGTAACTGTGCCAAATTTCATACAGATCGGAGCAGGAATAAAAAAATGTTCCTATATCTCCTCGCATTTCTGTTATCCTGATACAAAATATAGCATTAAAATTGGTTAAAAATTCGATTTAATATTTTTCCCACCTTTTTAAAATACCTTCCATACCTACTCGCTTTTCTGTTATCCTGATACAAAGATCCGAATTCGAAAAGATCCAATTTTGTCTATAAAATTTTGGTATCAGGATAGCAGAAACGCGACAAGGTATTTGACTTATTTTTAAATGTGAATAACTACTAAACGGCTCAAGATAGAGGCAAGCCGCAGAGGGCATTTTAAACTATCCGTCCGGCTCTACCTTTATGTGAATTTATGGAATAATTCGATTATTATTAACTGAGGAATTAAGAAAAAAAAAGTTAACCCTTATAGCTAGGGAGCAACTGAGTTCACCCCTTAATTTCTCGTGATTTCCTTTATGTGTACCCCAATTTTCATCAAGAACGTAGACAAAAAAAATTTTTGTCGAAAAATTTGGAAGGCTATACCCTTTCGATTTTTTGAAAAAATAAAAAACAATTTAACTTTTCCTACGGATAGAAGGTCACATGTAGATCTCAAAAATACACTCAGTCTTTTTCTAACAGCAATATTAAAAAAGTTGTGGCAAAAATAAAAATTTTCGATATCTCCTCGCGTTTCTATTATCCTGTTACAAAGGTCCAAATTCGAAAAGATCCAATTTCGTTAATAAAATTTTGGTATCGGGATAGCAGAAACGCGACAAGGTATTTGACTTATTTTTAAATGTGAATGACTAATAAACGGCTCAAGATAGAGGCAAGCCGCAGAGGGCATTTTAAACTATCGGAATAATTCGATTATTATTAACTGAGGAATTAAGAAAAAAAAGTTAACCCTTATAGCTATGGAGCAACTGAGTTCACCCCTTAATTGCTCGTGCTTTCCTTTATATGTACCCCAATTTTCATAAAGATCGGAGACAAAAAAATTTTTTGGCGAAAAATTTGGAAGGCTATACCTACCCTTTCGATTTTTTGAAAAAGTAAAAACAATTTAAATTTGCATACGGATAGAAGGTCACATGTAGATCTCAAAAATACACTCAGTCTTTTTCTAACAGCAATATTAAAAAAGTTGTGGCAAAATAAAAATTTTCGATATCTCCTCGCGTTTCTATTATCCTGATACAAAGTTCCGAATTCGAAAAGATCCAATTTTGTCTATAAAATTTTGGTATCAGGATAGCAGAAACGCGACAAGGTATTTGACTTATTTTAAAATGTGAAGGCTACCCTTTCGTTTTTTTTTTTTAAATAAAAAAAATTAAAATCTATATAGGCATAGAATGTCACATCTGGAGCTCAAAAATATACTCAGTTTTTTTATAACAACAACAATAATAAAAAAATTGTGGCTCATTTAGCAAAAAGTATCGAAGATAGAGAGACGCAGACACCTGCCAGACATTTTAAATTAAATACTGTAACGTTGTGCTAAATTTCATGAAGATCGGAGCGAAAATAAAAATGTTCCATACCTCGTCGCTTTTCTGTTATCCTGATACAAAATCTGCCATTAAATGCAACTATTTAATAATTTTCTATTAGTAGTCTCTATCTTGAGCATTTAAAAATCATAACTTCATCAGCATACAACGGCATTAGTCTCATAATTGACAGGCAACATAGAATACACCAATGTGTAATGATATTTGCCTATATTACAGAAGCCATTTAATCAAGAATAGCTGAAGCAATGTAGTTTCCTTCTATATTATTATATAGTTTTACCTATTTGCTAATAGATGGCTCTTGTACATACTTTCGACCATTTTCTATCCATTTTATTGAATTTTTATAACAAATGTTTTGATTTTAACGTATTTTTAATTTAGGAAATTAAACAAGGAAGCCGATTAACAAGATATTTATTTAATGAAAAATACAAAATTTAAGACATTAAAAAAGAAAAATTTTACATTTAAACAAAACATACAGAATAAAATAATGTATAATTGTGTTGTAATAAGTTAGTAACTATTCAGTTAAACAATATCTTTATTGCTTTGTATAATCGATATGTATTAACAATTTTTATCTAATTGACATAATCCTTAAAAAATACTAAAAATTAAATTAGGTATTCCAACGACTTTTTAAAATTCTGCCAGTGGGTTATGATATGGCAACGTGATGGCAACTGGCAACCGTGTGCGTCTGTCGGCTTTGACAGATTCAATGTTTTATATCGTTATACAGGTCTCTTTGCGAGCGGCCATATTGCCTCGCAAATGCTAATTAATCAGAATGGGTTTAGCAAAAATGTGTTTTAAAACTAATTTTCATATTTAGAATATAGTAAAAACATTATTACCTACATTTTTACTTCAAAGGAAGCTTACGTTTATTTTGAAAAGCAAGGGATCAATCTATATAACTGTCTATAGCATTGACCAAGTCAGATGAGCAGGTCCGCAGGGTTGCCATATGCCTATTTTTTGTAGGAGGACAATGTATTCCTGGCAGCCTACGCATCAGGCGATATTATTAAGAAATTAGGAAATTATCCATAATATGTAGCCAGGAATATATTATAGGTAACATTTTTTAAATGAAGAAAACCTCAAATAAATATTAAACAATAAGAAAGGACGCCGGCCATATTTACGGAACGATTAATTTATCTGTTATTTTTTTAACAAAATTGTTTTTAGAAATTGTTTCCAACTTCACAGCTAGAGGGCGCAATGCTCATTAATAATGATAAAAATTTGTTAAAAATAAGTCAAATTATGTTATTCGAACATCAAAATAATATTCTGCACGAAATTTTACTAACAAAAACAACAAAATCAATAACAACAAGAGTCTCTGCCTGCGGATTCAAGGGTCCCAGATTCGAATCCCACCGTTGGCCGGGATTTTTTAATTTAATTTAATTATTTAAAATTAATTCTGATGCCTTGGTAGGATTTCCCACTCGACCATTCACTGTTGAGTTCTAATTAACAGTACTGTTCCTAAAGTGGCGTTGGGAAACAGTAACAAAGCCTACACAGAACATGAGGCGAAATAACCATAGTAGTTAAACCCGATGAAACCATCGACCTATATTGAAATCGATGGATGAAACTAAATAAAAAAAAAACAACAAACGCAACAACAACAAAAGCAACAACAACAAAATCAACAACAACAAAAGCAACAACAATAAAATCAACAACAACAATAAAAACAACAACAACAACCAGAGTTTTATCATTTGTACACTCGGTACTTTTAGATAACAATGAAATGGTGAACCCTTGGCAAAAACAACAAAAGAACATGCTTCCCTTGACATTTCAGACATAAATCAGTAAATTTTTTAATTAAAAAACAGACTTCAAAATCATGCAAATGCCCTTATCTTATCCTGACTAATTATATATTTATTTATTATCCAACCAACGGTAAAAACCTATTACAGGTGGAATACATGAAAACGTAAATATTAAATATATGGAACTACCCCTGAGGTATCCACTTTCTATAAAAAAATAATCATAGAAATTAGAGAAGAATTATCGCTAAACATACATGAAAAATGAAGAGTTTGAGGATTTTCTCATGGACCTAATTATTAGATTTTGACCAAATTAATATGGGACCACCCCTGATGTACCCCCTTTCTAACAAAAAAAGAATCATTGAAATCTGACATCGTGGTAAAGAATTATCGCTGAACATACATAAAAAAAATATTACAACGAATTGAAAACCTCCTCCTTTTTTGAAGTCACAATGGTCAATATGACGTTTAACTGTTTGCCTATGATGTCCTTATGTTTCTTGTAAGTTGTAAAAATTCAGATAACTTCAGTTAATCTGCCAACTCAGACCAGCTGCAATATCTAATAACAGTGGATATTTATAAATATGTATTTAAAATCAGATATTTATGTTGAAACTAACAAAATACTGACCCATATTTCGAAATCACCCTAATTTAAATTTACATATTTTACTGGAATTGTATCTAGAACACTGCAAATTTATTAATTTTATTTTTAGTCTCATTCAAGTTGCATATGTCGATATGGTCGTTTCATTCATTTTAATTGTAATATTTACTATGTTAGTGGAATGTTTATATATACCAGAGGGTAAGATATAACTATAAATTTTATCTTTCAATTCTATTATTTAGTAAATAAACTTTTATTTAGTAAAGCCACATGTAAAAAATGACACGGCTGAAGAGATACAACACGCTATTTGTAAGATCACATCAAAAGATTTAGAGGCTACAGCGAATGCCACGATATTCAGGGAACTCAAAGGAGTGTGCACTTCAGGTCAGTTTAAAAAATATTAATTATTGAGCATAAATATAAATAAAATCCAAAAATCTTCATCCTATATCGAATTTGAATCATTTAATTTACATATTTTGACCGCGGTATAAGAGGTATAGCAGATGCAGAAGTTGGAAAGGCTTTTGGTAGGTAGAGAAGGGATAAACGTCAAATAATGTCGGA